GGCTCCGAGTGCAAACACAGTCAGAGGCAAATGTCTAGGCTGCAGGATGTGCTGAGATAGCCCCGTGCCCAAGCACCGAGCAAGGAGGCTTCTAGAAATGCAGCTACGGAAGCTAGACCCATGCCCGCTCAAGTGGGCATAAGCATATGGCCTGGGAGGAGTCCAGCATTCAAAGCTGTTATTCCAGCAAGACATCCACATCTCCTTCCCAGAGGCTCAGATTAGCTTCTAGGGTCTAAATAGCCACTTAAATGCAAATCAGGGCATCCATATTGAGAACAAGCTGTCCCACAGAGATGCCCACATTTGATATCGGTCCTATCAGCTCACAGTGAGCACGCTAATACAAGCAGAAACGAGGATACGTCTGCCTCCTTGCAGATACCCAAGCACAGTCTCTTACGCACTTTCATGCACGGCCGGACGCTGATGCAGTGATCCCAGCCAAATAAACTGAAGACCATCAGGCTGTCCTCGTATTTGCAAATAGTACCAGGCTACCCCAAACCACATCCGTCCATTCAGTCACACCTATTTGTAACTACCTGTTCATATGTATCTAATGTATATAGAGAAAAAATAAGAATATATTTGTATGTAAACTCAAGTAAACACACTTGAGCATGTTGAATATACAAAAATATGCACTCCAGTGTTGTATATTTACAAGACGGAAAAGATATTTTTGAACATTTTTGAACATTAACATGAATTTAAAGACATACACAAAGAAACCATGTAAGAACACACTTTTTATGTACATGTATGAGTGAAGATGTATATTGTCATATACTCATCCAGTGCCTTCCATGTTCTTCTGGTAAAACAAAGTTCACTCCAATTACCTGAGCGTCAGAGCTCGTAAGAAATCTCTGCCTTACACACTTGTGCATTGATATCGTTATCTATAGCTGTAGGAGAGACCTAGATCTTTAGCTCTAAAACCTCATCTTCAGCTAACGGCCCCAAGAAGCATCGTTGTTACTCACTATTCATCAAAGAGCTTTTGCTCTTCCCAACCTTCAGCCACTAAGTGGTCACGTATCCTGGGGCCTGTGCGTTAACACACCCAATATACTGTTCTCACACAAGCACCTTCCCCGACCTCGGCGTGCTCAGAGCCACCCAGGAGACACGCAGGAGACACGTCCAGCTGCCCGGTGGGAAGCTCGCAGCTGAGCAGCTATCCCGCCTGTTTGGGCCCTGGAAACTTATAGCGTCCTGAGGAGTTTCTAAAATAGGAGTAGTGATGTCTCTAGCAACCCTGCTGTAGAGGAAGCGCCTCTGATAGCAAGCTTTACTCCCACTGACTCTCTAGACCAACAGGATTTATTGTGCATAGAACAGGAGGAAATGAGAGTAAAATCGTTACCTATAACGAACTCTCAGAGGGTCACCTCCGCTCATTTAAGGGTCTCTCTCTTTGAACAGGTTTATTCCTATTTCCATAAGTTCTCCAAAAGCTTTAAAGTGATCTAGCCCATTTCCTCCCAAGCAGGTGATTTTCCTCCTTCAGCATTTTAGGGGATCGTCTTTCCAGTTTAAACCAGAAAACCTCTTCCTGACGTTAGTTATCGCTTGAGTCAGATTTTTGGAGGGACGTGAGCCCTCCCCCTCCTTTCGCATTCGCAGGCTGCGGCTCTCTGATGCTAAAATCTGCATGTGCAAAGATATGCTCAGAGCCCTGCGAACGCAGATGCCTCGCTGTGCAAAATTAGAGCGGGTGCCGAAGCCCTCATTTCCGACACGTGTCAGCGCTGCTGGGAGCAGAGCGGTCGGCAGCGAGCGGGCAGGGAACGGTCCGGGGCCGGGGAAGGCCTGGGTCCTCCTCGGACAGCCGCACCAGGCAGCAGCCGCGGGGTGAGC